TATCTTAAAATCAATTTTATAACACACTGGGAGCCAGTTTAAAGTCTTTAAGATCGGAGTAATATGCTCTCGCTTACGAGCCCCAGTTAAAAACCTGGCTGCAGCATTTTGAACCATCTGGAGTCATGATATAGAAGACTGGGGTAGACCAACATATAAAGAATTACAATAGTCCAGACGCGACAAGACAAGGGCATGTGTAACTCTCTCAAGATCTTTAAACGATAACCAAAACTTGACTCTAGAGAGAGGTTTTAAATGAAAAAAACTTGACTTCACTACTGTGTTAAAATGTTGCTCAAATTTTAGGTAGGAATCTAAAAGGACTCCCAAATTTTTCACAGTTGGTTTGATGGAGTTCAAATATCCCAAATTATGGTTTACATTGGCCTTATTCACCTGAGGCCCAAACACAATAACTTCTGTTTTACTAGAGTTTAAGCATAGAAAATTTAAAGACATCCAAGATCTAATGTCCTCTAGACATGCAACCTGCAAAAGAATGAAAATATTTTTTTCCCCCAAAAAAATCCTACTGACCCCAAAGTTTCTTATCTAGATAGTTCTTAACTAGTCATGTCTACTAAGTCAAGCATCGCTATTACTATTACATATACTTGAACAATCCCCAAACACTAAGTATTAAACTTTTGCACACAACTCCAAACCGCACTTAGAATCACCCTAGCTACAACCTAGTGACTGCATAGCAACCGCCTAACATAGATTCTTGAGAAAAAAACGAAACAAAAAAATTTACATTGTTTCTTTTAAATCTCTGACAGCATCCCTATTTGCATGCTATCTGTAGTATGTAGTAGGGATGCACCGATACTGGTATCGGTATCGGGCCCGATACTGGTCTCCTGTACTCGACTCGTTAAAATGCCCCGATACCAAACGCCGATACCACACAGAAAAACTGTGATAATGTGAGAAATGTTGAAGGTGTCTGAATATATTTTGGTTTGACTGTATCTATTTGATAAATGAAGTTAACCAACTAACATTATACATACCCTTTTGGTTTCTGTACCCAATATTTAAAAAATGTACAAATGCAATAAAAATATTGGTATCGGTACTCGGTATCGGCAAGTACCAAAAATAAAAGTATCGGTATCGGGCGAGTACTGGAAAAAGTGGTATCGGTGCATCCCTAGTATGTAGTATGCAAAATTGGAATTAGTGTGTCACAAATCATAGTATGCTGATAGTATTCTTATTTCTGGTGGTGTTTCGACTAATAGTTTTGATGTTTTTCATCTAATATTCTGCTTCTGTTTGGTTTTCGCGGCAGGAAATGACTTCAGCAGTGCGAAGGAACTGAAGGCAGAAATCAGGAGCGCGTACGGCGAGAGAGATCGTCTGGAGGGGCTGGAGAGGAAGCTGAAGACTCTGCGCACATATTTAGCATCAACGCTCAGGCTATCATTAGCTCACAATCTCTCTCATCCCGGCACAAAGACGCAGACCAGCCGAGCTCTTTGTTGAGCAAAATGTGTGTGTGTCAAATTAAGCAGACGAGTGTAATCCCTCTAACGGCTGGCTGGATTCCCGTTGGCTGTCAGCCGCGTCTCCTCCTGTTGTTGGACGTGTAGGGAACCGAATAAATGACAGGCCAAATCCCGCAATCTCCATCCTGCATATCCTCACGGGACGCCAGAGCCAAGTCGAGAAGAATTTAATGTGCATCTGGTTATTATCGCCAACTAGTCATATGATACCAGACCAGTGAATTCATCTTGTGAGTTCATCTTAATGTGCATGTAGTTATTATCGCCAACTAGTAGGGATACAGAGGAGCTGAATGAGATGCAGATTCACTCTCTGCCAGCAGGTGGTGCTTAAAGCGTTTCCGCTGTAAACAAAACAGCGCTGCGCTTATGAACTTTAACATGCATTATACAGAGGCAAGATGACAAGAAAAAATACCATCTAAACTTTTCTAAAGACAGTAAGTTCCCCTCAGACATGCATTCATATAAACTCCTACACCTAATTGAATCGCGATTTGTTTAGCATCTCAACCGATTTGAATCGTCACATATTTGAATCGATTTTCAACCGGCTCGCGGTTAATCGTTACATGCCTACCAACTAGTCATATGATACCAGACCAGTGAATTTACACCGGTGACGTGAGCTAGACTTTTTGACATCCTTTTAGTTTGTAAGCATTAAATACCCGGTGAATTTCACAAAACATGTCAAAAGCATGTCTAGATCATATTGCACCTCAGAGACAAAAGGACAAAAAAAGAAGAAATTATAATTTGCATGAAGAAAATGAAGCCTATTGTATGATAATTGACATTAGTGAATATCAAATTAAATAAATAGATTCTGAAGTATACATTATGACAGTATTTTTTACAATTAATTTAAATCATGCTTATTTTCAATAAAAAATGCTGTGTCAGCATAGGATGGTTTTTTTATTAATGCAAAAAAAGATTAAATAATATTTTGCACGAAGAATTTTTATTTATTTATAAGTATAAATACGGCAGAACTTGCACACAGAATTTAATTTATACTGATTAAAAAAAAAAAAAAAATGATGTGTCTATGTAGGATGATTTTCATTAATGTTAAAAATGAAGCCTTTTGCAGGATAATTCATATTATTGAATATAAAAGACATAAAATAGCATTTCTGAGAAAAAAGTCTGTTGACTTCTGCCATTTATCTAAGGTGATATCAGAAGTTTTTTTTTTTAAACATTCTTTTCTTATTTATTTGGTTCCACAGTGTTTACTGATTTTCAGTTTTGTATAGGCTACCTATTTAAACTTTGTGTAAGTTATTTGTTATTTTATATTAGGCATATTGCATGGTGTATTTTTATTCATGGCCGTAGCCAGGCTTTGAAATTTAGTGAGGGGGGGGGTTATAAAAAATTGTGCTGTAATAACCCCTACAAATACAACTCATTATATACACTATAAACACTTTAAAAGAGACAGACATGTAGATGCTTGTGAAAGATGTTTTCTCTGTTTTGGAGGCATGATCATTTTTAAATCATACCCTATTGCATCAAAATTTGTTAATACTTACTATAGTTAGGGGTGGATAATTTTATCAGCTGTTTATTATTCATATTACTGTTATAGTTTTTATTAATAACCATTTCTATATAGCTGATAACATTGTCTAGTGCTCTAATGAATATTTTTAGCATGATTTGTGAAAATTTAACTACTATACTGAATGACGTGTAGACTTCTCTTAATGGCTAGGGTTTGTGTATTTCATTTCATTCTGTAACCTACTTGTTCAACAGAATTGTGCTGTAATAACCCCTACAAATACAACTCATTATATACACTATAAACACTTTAAAAGAGACAGACATGTAGATGCTTGTGAAAGATGTTTTCTCTGTTTTGGAGGCATGATCATTTTTAAATCATACCCTATTGCATCAAAATTTGTTAATACTTACTATAGTTAGGGGTGGATAATTTTATCAGCTGTTTATTATTCATATTACTGTTATAGTTTTTATTAATAACCATTTCTATATAGCTGATAACATTGTCTAGTGCTCTAATGAATATTTTTAGCATGATTTGTGAAAATTTAACTACTATACTGAATGACGTGTAGACTTCTCTTAATGGCTAGGGTTTGTGTATTTCATTTCATTCTGTAACCTACTTGTTCAACAGATCTGTGTACTAGTGATAAATGCTACTGTTTTTGACAGTATTGATAACATTTCGGACAGATAATAACATGATATGTTTTGTATTTCCCTTACCGAATGTGCTATCCTGTCAGCAATAACCTGTCCGTGTTTTTTTTTTTATCACTGTCAGTTTAAGTGCCGGCGATCAGTGTTGCCAGATAGTGCTATTAAAACAAACAAAAACCGAAAAATAAATACAAATAAACAGAAATTATTTCAAATCTTTTGCAATTAAGATAAAGATATCGCTGACCCTAAACTGCAACATCCTACTTTATTAACTTTCTAAAGTGTCAAATTAAGTGGAAAAGACAAATCCAAAAATGCTTATAATAGCTGGATCTGGCAACACCGGCTGCGCAGAATTGAATTGAATTCAAGCAATTGATGCCGAATTACTGCTAATTTAAAAGTGAAAGTAAAATGGTCACGGCGCGTTTACAAGCCATTTAAAACCGAAGGAAAGCGAAGAAAAGAGGGAAAACTCGACCCCCCCCCACCCCCCACCGGTGTTGTCACATGTCGATTAACCGGAGGGAAAATTTCCTCACCGTCACAACCCTAGACTGATGTCTTGTCTAAGTAGTTTGACCAACAGCGTGCAGGCATTGTACATAATCGACCAATCGTGGTGTGCGAGAAGGCGGGATCTACAGAGAAGGGACAAAGCAATGCAAATAAACATACATATAATGTGTGAGGACTGTAGCGCGTCCATAGGAAGACAAAGCTAAAAACCCGGACATTTTAGCCAATTCAGAAATTTTCCCAGCCAGGACCATTCAAAATATTCAAAAGCTGTATAATGTACCTTGTCAGTGATTACCATTGTACAGTACCATAGTGCCATCTGTAAAGACTGCTGAAGGTTTGAGCTGACAGGACTCGCTGTTTCAGACGAGACTCGTGTGATATTGTTTACATCCATTAATGCTGTAGAGCTCCTGCTTTACTCAGATACCTCTATCCCAGGCAACAAATGAAGGTGCCTCGTTGTTGGGTGAAGTGTTTTGTCCATAGGAGGAGATATAATTAGAGGAGCAGTAAATGGAGCGGAGAATGTGAGCAGGTGACGGAGGCTTTCAGAAATGAGGCTTTGTGTGTGTTTGCTGTGCTATATCTCTGGGTTTCTGCAAAGATTCACTTAACAAAAACTAATGCGTCTTTTTTTTTTTTCTCTCGCTGATTTTGGAAGAGACAGACCTTTCATTTCTTATTGACGAGACTCAGATTGTGTTGGATGACCATTTGCGCATCGCTGTGTGCTGCTGCCCTCCTTTAGTTTGGGATGCAAAGCAGTGTTATTTTAGTATCATTGATATAATATTATAGTTTTTATTATTTTTAATATATTGATTCTATAATCATGCATAATATCAATTTTTATTTATATTTTTTGCATTTTCATTTTAATGTAAAGCTTTTGGTAAATGTATTTGTTTTTGTCATTTTTATTAGTTTTTAGTTTTTTAATGTCTGTATATTTTTATTAATGTTTTGAATTAGTTTTTTTACTTTCATTAAATTTAAGTTTAAGTTTTAGTAATGTTTGTGTTTTTGTAATTAAGTTTTTTTTTTTTTTAGTTCTATAGTTTTTACTAATATTTTGAATTAGTATTTAATTTTTTTGTGTTCTCCCTCATTTCTATTATTTTTTTAAGATATATATGTAGTTTTTAAACGTCTGTATAGTTTTTTTTTGTTAAATTTATTTCAGTTTTAGTAATTTTTGTAGTTGAAGTCAAAATGAAAATTGAATTAAATACAATTAAAATTAAGCTTTACAAAATGAAAATAAATTAATAAATAAAAATTAAATGATATTTCAGCTACTGGCCAAGTTGCAGTTTTTATACATTTTATTTCAGTTAACATTTGTTTTATTTCCAGTAACAATTTATTAAGGTTTCAGCTTTAGTTAATAATAACCCTGTTGCAAAGCATCACTACTATATTGTCCTTGAAAATCCCTCAAAAGGTCATGCAATGACCTTTTTGCCACTAGCTTAGCATATTGCTTCGAAATCAAAGCTCATTATTGTCAAACAGCACACCTGTTTATGCTCACGGTTAGTGCTCGGGAGGTCAAGTTGGGATGCTCCTTGTAACCACGGCAACAGTCTTTTGTGTGTCAGACTGTCTATAAGTGCTGACTAAGATGCTTTTGTGCCTCTCTCTCTGTGCTGTTGTGCTGAAACTCAGAAACTCCGACAGAGGCCCATTAATCACAGCTGTCTCTTCTGACTCAATTAAAACAACAGGCTATTCCTCTTATTGCACCAGCATTTCATGCCCACGCATCTGCATCTGCTCCGAACACACGGCTGCAGGTGGAGCGTCTGCTTTTGAGGCCTGTTAATGCTGTAAAAGAGGCTTTGTGTTCTTTTATGCACGACAAATAATTACCAGCTTTCTCTGAATAAATGCATGCGCTTTTTGCCATCATTAGCTCATGAGCGTCCTTCAGATGCATTAGCTGGATGTTTCTGTTTGTGTTCACACCACACCGCATGATAGTTGATTCTCAAGTTGTCAGAAAATTGCTAATTAATGAAGTCATTTCACATTTCGTAGCATCTGAGCTTACCTTATTAATGAGGCAAGACGATCAGCTCCTGAAAACAAGAAAAATACATGCTTTTGACAAGCTTTCTGTTGTTTTAATACCTCCAGGTGATGTTATGCATGCTTTTGTCACTTTTTATTGACAATTATAATAATCAGAATTGCATACTACCATACTACTCATACTATTTCTGCTGTATGCATACTGTATACTAGGGCTGTCAAAATGGCTGAAAAACTAAATTCAAATTTTGTACTTAAATATTATCAAAATTCGAATGATATTCGAATATAATATAAAATGCATAATTTCAGTTAGGGTGAAGAAAAGCTTTTGGCTTCTCTTCTGAGGCCACAAGAGAGCACATCGAGCAAAATATTACTAATGCACGTTTATTCAAAGCATAAGATAACATGACTATCTGTGAAAAAAGTGCATAATGTTTAAAATAAGGTTTATAATTCCTTACATTTTTAATAATTATAAACCAATTATAATTAATTAAGTTGCTTAAACAACTATAAACAAAACAGCATCATGTATGTATGCATAGTTTAATACAAAGGGCAGAAAGCCAATCACACAGAGTACATTTCTCATTTAAAAACATGAGATGCAGTGGGATGGGGAAAAAAACTTGCATTAATTTTACATGGCTTTCTAAACATGCGGCTCCATTGTGTGAGATGCGAGTGCAACGGTGATAGATGTCCCTCTAAAAAATGCGTGAAATATGCGTTCTGTGTGAACGGCTTGGTTTCAGTTTTGATGTAAACAAGATCTTCTCCGCATTGATGTTCTCTTTTCCTGCAATATTTGTAATTAACAATTCAGCAGCGCCGCATCTAGTGGCTTCAACTGGCTTCAACAGGCTAACAAAAACATTATAATGCAACGACACTTACATCGTCATCGCATCTCGTGCGCCGCTGATAAGGCGGCCTCCTTAACGCACACCTAAAATTCGAATGCAACGTTTTTGCATTCGAATGTGGATTTTTATTTTAAATTCGACGAATATTCTAAATTTGAATTTTTTTGACAGCCCTACTGTATACAGTATGTAGATGTGGTTTGCATGGAATATTGTTTGCAAAAATGTGCAATATACAACAACAAAGAACACTTTACTACTGTATGTTGTATTTTATGATGCAATGTGTTCAATTTGACATTCAATTTTAGGTTAAAATTAATATATATTTAATATTTTACTCATTTGATCAAAGTCCGTTAAAGTCCTTAATTCAGTTTGATAAAATTTAAGGTCATAAATGGTTATAATTATCTTAAATGGTATAGCAAAAGTCGTAAAGACAGCCTGATTTGATTATTAAACTTCAATGTTATTGAACTACATACATATGAGCGATACTTGCATATGCTTTACTTTTGATGGTTTTTATATTGTAATATGTTATAGATGGTTGAAAGAGAGTGTATTGTTCCCTCGTCTTTTTAAACGAGCAGCTGGAAGTAGTAAAGCATAAGCATTTCAAAATAAGAGTCCTAGAGTATTTCAGGCTTGTTTAGAATTTAAAAAAAAAAAATTTTCTTCTGGATATTAATGGTATTTTGGTAACACAATAAACTGTCTGTATCTAGCATTTAATTAATCTGTTACAAGAAGGAAATAATAAAAGCATATTATTAACCTTCAGGTTAACATATTGTTTGACATATTAACATATTGTTATTATTTAACACTTTTAGGCCCAATCCCAATTCTATTTTATACCCCTTCTTCTTCCCCTACCCCTCCGCCTACCCCTTCCGCTTGTCCCTTGAAACATAGTGTCAAGGGGTAGGGGTAAAAATATTCCCCTAAGAATTGGGACACCACTACTATGCCGTCACACGTCATCATACGTCTAGCTCCTACAATACACACATCTATACTGGTGTGCATTAGAGCCTTTAATTACCGTTCTATATTAATGCACTGATTACTGACACACACACACACACACACACACATATCAGAGATCGCGCAGCTCACACATCCAGGAGCAAAGATACTTGTCAACGCTGCCCCACGACTTTTATTAATAACAGGTAAAAATACTGAATCGCTACATTATATTTTCCAGCAGCAAGAGGATAAAATCGCTGTTTTTGAAGTAAACTCACTCTAAAAAGAGAAACGCACAGACGCGCATACACGCAACTTTAATTTCTCTGTCTCTCTCTCTCGCTCGCTCGCTCGCTCGCTCGCTCTCGAATTGGCAATATTTCAGAAAAGGGTTTAGCGATTTATAATTATTGGGGGGACTAGCCCCCCTCAATGTCTATGGTGGTTATCGCCCTGATCGGACATTAAAATACGTTGTGGCACTATCGTGCAGTCAGTAATGATATGACGTTACAGAATTGATGTCATACGGCTCATTCAATGAATCGCTGGCCGTCTCAGTGATCAGCCGTAAAACAGTGATTCTGTCCAAATTCCCTTTAAAATCTTAAATGATTCCCTTTGAGCTAAATTGACCTGTTTCCCTTACAACCCCTTCACGTGAACGCGCAAAACGGAGAAGGGCTAAGGGGTAGAATTGGGATTGGGCCTTAGTGTAGCACACACAGATTTTACTAGTATACATAATAGTATAGTATTTTACTAGTATAGTCACAATAATCCTTTTATCGCCTTACTTTAAATACTCTATTGTCATATTAGCAATATGTATTGATTTATTAGTGCGTAAACCAACTTCAATAGACATGTATATATTGAATAAAACATGTCTTGAGTATTTTACACTTGCAGTTATGTGTGCCTTTTTAATTACATAAAATAAGGATGCATCATTTATTTTGAGATTTTATGGGTTTGTTCCCTATGGACATATGGTACAGGGTTGTTATCATTAACACACACACTCACACAGACACACACACACACACACACACACACACACACAGACTCACACAGACTCTCA